AAAGCCGGATAATGGCATACTGGGATTCGCCCATTCTCAGCACACTCAGCTTTCTGTGTCTCCTTTCCATTCTCTTCTATTCATTTTCAAAATAATAATAAGAAATGAGAAGAAAAAGGGAAGCTCTAAGTACTTCCGAAGCCTTGTGACCAGCTTTCATGTTACGGATTATCTCTATAAGCGGACTCCACCGATATACTGCGCAATATCAATCTGTGAGTCATTTCGTGCAACTGCTAATTTCAATTTCTGATTTACTGACCTCAATTTCAGAGACCATCATCTGTGTCGACTAAGCATGGCTCTGAAATATCGGGAAGTAAGGACTACCCACCACAAACAAGGGACGACGTATTGCGCAATAGGTAGAAAGGCTGTCACGACTCACCATATGGTAAGCTAGTTAAGCTCTCGTCTATTTTTAGAAAGTGCTAAGGCTGTGGCACAAAAATCCGGAAAATGGGATGAGGGGCATTTGTTCTGAACTGCCGAGATATATCTTTAGACTCGACTAGCATGACAAATTCAGGAGGAAAATCGATTGAAAGGTGATCTATACGTTTTCCATATGGCAATACCTCTCAACCACGGCAGCCAGAGTTGCGTTCCTCAACCTGGGACCGAGAGGGAACTAAATCAGTCAACCGAGGCTCTCCTTATTCTAGGATCCGCTGATAAATGCATCTCGTCCCCAGATTAAAAGATGAAGAAACGATTCTGGTGTTTCTTTTTTCACAGGGAAGGGCAGGAAAGGCGGCGAGATGACGTAATGCAAGCAGAGCGCCCCGCCCGAGAGGCAGCGCTGCGCCAGCCACGTCCCCGCCTGCGCAGTCCCCAGAACAAAGAACCCTCCGAACGCTCTAGAAAGCAGTCCTTCGCTTACCTTTCTCAAAAGGAATGTCGGGCTGCCATCTCTCCCGCAGGACAGAGGCGCCCTTCGAACGCCTGCGAGACCCATTTCGACTGCGGGACGGCTGCGATTTCTGGCTGAAAAGAGCTGGATTCTCTGGCGACGGGGCGCTCCCTCCCTCGGCCCTCTCGCTCTCCGTAGTGGGGCTGCGATCAGCTGTTTCTCGCGACGTCACGACGCACACATACACACAAACACACGAACACACGACCCAGTTTAGCAAGTGTACACACGTTCGGATCCGTGCGCCGCTGGCTTCGTGTCGCCGCTGGTTGCGATCGTGTACCGAATTCCAGACATTAAATATGCAATAGCCTTTTCTTCTCTCTCATTCTTTTACCGAGTCTCACGGAAGAATATCAAAAGGACATAACCCTCTCTTACCTTTAGAGGTATGTGAACCGCTCCTATTCCCTCGGAACCACAATCGGACGTGTGAAATAAAAGTCCCTTTCCCATTGGCTCTCCCGCGACGTCGCTCTTCTTCGGTCTATCGCAGGCTGCGCGCTGATTGGCCAGCGGGGAAAAAAGTAAAAGTATTCCCCTCGCCTCTGTGTCATTCTTGTCGTTTAGTCTTGTATTTCTCTTACCTACCACGGAGGCTTGAGTTTCAATTTCACGGCGAAGGGGGAGACCACTTCGACTGATTTTTGTATGGAGCCGAAACTCGGTCGCCATGCATAACGGTGGCTACCATATGGCACGGATTTCATCATGTTTGCCCCAGCGGTGATGAGTTGCACGAAATGTTATTGGTGTGTGCATGAGAATGTATGAGGGGGGGGGAGGGAGAGGGAAAGAGAGAGGGTGAGGGAGAGAGAGAGGGTGAGGGAGAGAGAGGGTGAGGGAGAAGAGAGGGAGAGAGAGGGAGAGGGAGAGGGTGAGGGAGAGGGAGAGGGAGAGGGTGAGGGTGAGGGATGAGGGTGAGGGTGAGGGTGAGGGTGAGGGTGAGGGAGAGGGAGAGAGTGGGGGGGAGGGGGGGAGAGAGAGAGGGAGGGAGGGGAGGGAGGGAGAGAGGGAGGGAGAGAGGAGAGAGAGAGAGAGAGAGAGAGAGAGAGAGAGAGAGAGAGAGAGAGAGAGAGAGAGAGAGAGAGAGAGAATGAAATAAGAGGGAAAGTGAGGTTGACGGAGGAGGAAAGCGAGGAAGTGGTTTGTGACTAAAAACAATAATAATAAAATAAATAAAGAGAAAGAAAGCGACACAAAATGAAACTAACAGAAGAAAATAAAGAGAAAAGAGAAACCGAAAAGCAAGCAAGCAAGCATCTCAAGAAAAAAAAAAAACGCAAAAACATTCTCTACAAACCACACACCCCTATCCCCCACATACAAACAAACAAAACACCCCTCCCTCTCCCCCCTTCCCCCTTCCCCCATCGGAATGACATACCTCCTCCCCCCCCTCATTCCATTCCCTCTAGTCATCAAGCTTGCAGGATTAACACACACAGGATTGCAAGTATAACACATATTGCATACCAACAGTGTTATATATCCGATTTGAAAAAAAATAATAATGAAAATGAAAAAAAAAATATACGCGACATCAGAGGTCAACGAACTTCTAGAAGATTCTTAGTTGATCTCACTTGAGAATACTTTTCGTGGTATTGTGTGCTTGTGCGTGAGTTTGCTTGGTTTGTTTTGTTTGTTTAGTGTGTGTGTGTTTGTTTGTGTGTGTGTTTGTTTGTGAGTGAGTGAGTGAGTGAGTGAGTGAGTGAGTGAGTGAGTGTGTGTGTGTGTGTGTGTGTGTTTGCGTTCGTTCACCTGTCTGATACTATTTGCTTTCAATTGATCTCCGCATGCAAGGCCACGACTAAACTAAGTCTATAAACAACTTTCCAAATCTCAGACGAAGGTTCAGGTTAAACGATGACAAAGAATACAAACACCCAGAACATATACACGCGTCCATTGTGGACAGTAGCTGTGTATGTATGAATACACACACACACACACACACACACACACACACACACACACACACACACACATATATATATGAATGTATATGTATATGTATATATAATATGTATATTATATTATATATATATATATATATATATATATATATATATATATATATACATATACATCTATATACACACGCATACATGAGTCAGCGGCAGATCCCTCCTCCTTCCTCATTTCGGAGAGCGAATATCCCCCACGATTTCCAAAATCCGAGACGAAGCTCTTATGCACAGCTCGGTCTGCCGGGATTTCCCCAACACAGAATTGTCTTGAAGTTCCTGATGCAGTTTGGGAAAGTTGGTGCAAGGTTGGTCTAAGTTCGTGGCAAAATATTCGATACACACACACACACTTTCAGGAAAATATATATATATAGTTAATGATAGATCATCGATAAAATAAAGATGTAGAAATATATACCCGTTAAGGGGTATTTATGTAAATAGGAACGTGTATGTAAATATGTGTGTATGTATGTGTATGTGAGTATATATATGTGTATGTGAGTATATATATGTGTATGTGAGTATATATATGTGTATGTGAGTATATATATGTGTATGTGAGTATATATATGTGTATGTGAGTATATATGCGTGCGTGTGTGTGCGTGTGTGTGTGTGTGTGTGTGTGTGTGTGTGTGTGTGTGTGTGTGTGTGTGTGTGTGTGTGTGTGTGTGTGTGTGTGTGTGTGTTATCAGCCCTGAACCGACATACTGTTCTCTGAATCCATCTTTTTTTAAGTAGATGTTTCTATTTTCTAGAACATGTCTGCTCACATCACAAGACAGTTTGCTTTCGGTTCCTCTAGCTAGCTGTTATCACAAGCACAGTCGCGCTGGACCAAAGAGAGAAATAGAGAGAAAGATATATTGATTCCCCAGCTCCTATGACCTCTCTCTCTCTTCTCCTCTCTCTCTCTCTCTCCCTCTCTCTTCTTCTTTCTCTTTGTCTCTCTTTCTCTGTTTTGTCTTGGCACCCCTTCTCTCTATCTTGTTTTCCTTTTGTTTACCTCTATCTTTATCTCCCTCGATCTTTATCTTTGTTTATCCATTATTCGGGACACGTATTTCATGCATGAACTTATGGCCTCTGATCAAAATCGCAACAATTTTTCTTTGTTTCGCTTTGAGTCTGCATATTATCCGTCATATTGTTGAGTAAGTGTCAGCCACTGTTTCATTCTGCGTCTCAGTCTCTCCTTATCAGCATATCTGCACGCAATGTCTCTCGATCCCATGCCTAATTGTCTTTCTGCTTGTATGCTAGCTTGCACAGAATGTCTACCTGCCTTCTTGCATGTCTAGCCTTTCGCCAGCTTGCCCGCCTGCCTGTCTCTTTCTCTGCATGACCGTCTGCCTGGCGCTCGTTCGTTCCCCTTTGTGCCGAGCCCTCAAGCCCTCAGAGCGCTCCCCTCCCCCTCCCCCCCCCTTTCCTCCTTTCCCCTCCTACCCCACCCCTTCTCTTCCTCCTACTACCACCACTCTATCCGGCCTCTCCACATTCCTTTGTGTCTCCTGTTTCGTGATCTCTCGCTCTCTCTCTCTCTCTCTCTCTCTCTCTCTCTCTCTCTCTCTCTCTCTCTCTCTCTCTCTCTCTCTCTCTCTCTCACACACAAATCCATCTTCTAACAGGTGTGTTTATACATCTATCTTACACTTTTATATATAAATACACACACACACACACACACACCTATCTTACCAATACCAATCCAACAGGAATTAATCCAAAATAACAACAATAACATCATCAATAATAACCAATGAACGATAATAAAATTTAAAAAAAGCAACCCCCCTCCCACTAAAAAAAGTATAAAAAAAAACGCAAAAGAATGAATAAATAAAAACAAAACAACACAGTATTAGGACAAAGCAATATTAAGTGAATAGTGACCCCTTCCACCGGACAGAAAACAGGAGCGAAGATAGCCTTAGCGATCAATAGACTAAAGTAAGATGCTTTGGTTGTCGTCAACCTAGACCTTGACTGTGGTCGCTGTCGGCGTGTTTGTGTATGGATATGGGGGGTGTATGTGTAGTGTGAGCGCGAGTGTGAGTTTGGCTGTGTGTGTGTGTGTGTGTGTGTGTGTGTGTGTGTGTGTGTGTGTGTGTGTGTGTGTGTGTGTGTGTGTGTGTGTGTGTGTGTGTGTGTGTGTGTGTGTGTGTGTGTGTGTGTGTGTGTGCGCGCGTGTATGTGCGTGTGCGAATAAACTTGTGCAAGCGTGTATACTTCAGTGTGTTTGTGAGAGAGCGCTTGCATGTGTATGTACGTGTTTAGAATTTGGTTCGTACATGTGTTTACATCCCAGTGTGGTTGTGATGTTTCAACACGTGTGGTCTGTCTTCATTTAGTTAAATTGCAATATTTCAAAGTATAACTTGAATGGCACTATACATCTCTATAAATTCCGGGTTAAAATAAGATCAAAGATGCATATACGAGCATTTATCACACACGTCACGACCGGTGAATTAATATTAATGGACGCAATTTACATTAACGTTGAAATACGAACATTCGTGCCTGTAACGACGACGGTGCCAGTTACCCCATTTTCGGCGCCGCTAAAAGATATATTTCAACCTTGCCAGCGACATTTGGATGTATTTTATGCTTCGTTATTCAAAGGCTGACTCTAAATTTCCCATTTAAGTACGACCAGATACCTAATATATAACACCAATGCGTCAAATTTAGGGAAATAGATGAACAAGCAACTCGACCCGATATGATTAAAGGTACCAGTTAGCGAATTTTTGTTTATCTAATATCCGTCACTTACGTAACTTCTAGGTCATTTTCGCCCCTTAGCAACAGCTGTCACTCTTGCACCCTTTCACCCTGGCGTATTTCCTCTCTCTCTCTCTCTCTCTCTCTCTCTCTCTCTCTCTCTCTCTCTCTCTCTCTCTCTCTCTCTCTCTCTCTCTCTCTCTCTCTCTCTCTCTCTCTCTCTTCGTGTCCTTCACACAGATTATCGGATTATTTTGTGTTGTATTCACAACTTTTGTATACTGTACACGTATGAAGAATGTAGAAAACACACACACACACACACACACACACACACACACACACACACACACACACACACACACACACACACACACACACACACACACACACACACACACACACACACAGTATTCATTGAAATCAAAGCCTTTAGTCCCTATGAAGTGACCTTATGTGCAATAAAAGGTCGAAGCAATACTACACATACTGTTGCATGTAGGACAAATGTGGTGCAATGCCACTAAATCAATATTGCAAAAAAGAGATATGGATACATGTAGCCACGCAAACACAAACGGTCGCACATAAACACGTTTTATGTATCTGTGAATTTACAAAAATAACTTCGAAATGAAATATTGCGTGCAATCTGCAATATTTCTCTCAGAAGAAATAGATAGAAAAAAAATAAACAATAATATTCGAGATAACATTCCCGCGTGCGCTGTCACGTTAATAACGAGTCTAAAAATAGCCTAAATTCAACCCACAAAAAAGAAAGAAAAAAAATATATATACATATCCCGTTAAGGATCTGCTTCCCCATATGGCAACACCGCGCGTGCTCCATGACCCTCGGAAATAAGTTGTTTCTCCCTCTCTCGCGACCGGATATGCGCCCACGGCTTCCACCATCGCCCGATAGCTGACATCCTTACATTCACAAAAACATATAAGACTCAGAGAAATAGTGAATAAGGATGATAACCTGCCTCACCCTTTTCTCTAGGGAAACGACAAGAATACCATCGTTGGCAACTCGAC